GTTTGTGACTCCAATTGATCATGGAATTCCATTACCAAAATTCTATCAGGCTAATACGTTTAATGAATTGAGGACAATTTATGAAACGAATGAAATAGCATCATTGTTAAATGTGCACATGTTTCAAAGTATACCAACTGAAGATAATGCAACACGTATTCCAAGACCATTGTTATTATCAGCGTACGGTGTTGACAATAAAATTACTGCAATAAATGTATTAAATCGATGGATGTATATTTTTCAACATTGTTTGGATCAAAATGTCCGTATTATTGGATTTTCTACAGGTAAATTTTAAGACGTTTATGCTAACTAAAATGTTGTTTTAATTTGTAAATAGATGCCGACAGAAGATATGTAAGTGCTATGCGTCTTGCAAGTGGTTTTTTTGCATCATTATCTGATTTACAATTCGATAAGCATCAGCATGCATTCAAAATTAATGTACCAACACATTGGAAATGGTTTTTCCTTCGAAATAACCAGTTATTCTTGTTTTTTCAAGATCCAGTCCATCTTGTAACAAAATGGAGAAATCGATTATTGTCAACAACAACTGATTTACGTTTTGGAACAGACAAAATCACTATAACACATATTGAAGCATTGATTAGTAACGATCATTATACAAAACTGGATCATGGTCTCACAAGTAGCGACATTAATCCAAAAGATCGCCAGAACTACAACTCCTGCATTAAACTAATATCAGATGACGTGATAAACCTTTTGATTAATGGTGTGGACACGAATGGAACCGTTGTATACTTAACTTTATTAAAAATGATAGTGAAAGCTTATATTGATAAATCAACATCCGTTCGTGAACGTAAGTTTATTTTGGATCTTTAAAAATTATAAATCTAAACTTATTAATCTCAAAAACACTTCTATACATTTAGGTGTACAATTAGCATGGTGTGTCGTGTTCGTTTGTCGCATATGGTGGTCATGGTTAAAAATTAATTCATTTTCCAGTTCATCAAGAAGTAAAGCAACAACTGAAAAGACCAATAACGTAAATAAATGCTTTATTTCAAAACCTGCATATTTGTCTATTGAATTGAATGCACACAATCTGCTTTATTTGATGCTTTTGGTAAAACAACAACATTTGCCGAAACAAGCACTGATTAATATACATTTGTTCAATTCTCAACCATGTGAATCGATCTTCAGAGATGCACGATCGCTAAGTGGTTCTTTCTCCACCATAGTCAATTTTACTGTTAGCAATTTCATTCGACGCGCACAAAAATTATCTCTATTGAATCAAATTAAATATAATCAATCGGAAAACCATCTATCTTTTCCAACACACCACAAACACAAACATGATCATTCCTTAATCTCTATAGATCACTTAGATGAAATTAATACTTTAGATCTTGAACAAATTATAGCAGACGCATACAATCAGGCAATTGATATCGTACATCACTCAAAAATGTTACAAGAATTAAAACAAAATGATATAATCGATTTAAAAACCTTAAGTAAATTTGTATTTGACAGCTTAAGGAAGAGTTCAAAAATGTTTGGCTATTCGTCACGAGTAACAACTGATAACAATGAAGAACTAGAATCAGATGACGATGGAGTTGATGAAGATGAGAGTGCGAGTAGTGATGATGAAGATGAACTTTATGATGAGTTATTGAATTTTGAAAATGATGATTACAACGACGAAGAAGAGATATTAAATTCAACAAGATCAAGTTTTGATGGAATAAAAATTGTTGATAATATTAATCCTACGCTGAAACATTCGTATTTTAAAATCAAAATAAATGATAAAATTAAATATCTTCACAAACAATCAGCTTGCTGGCTATTGTCCAACAAATCAACAAGATTATCAAGTGATCGCTTATCTCGGGTCATGCAACAAACAACTCATATTAGTTCATAAAATTCTTGCTTTTTATGTTTTTTTATTGATACTTTCTACACTTTACAAATAAATAAAAGAACTTTTTCGTATTCGTTCGTCTTTATTTCTTTTCACTTGATAAGCTTTTAGATTTTGAAAAACTATTTGCCTACTCTAATATATTTATCGGTACTTGAAACTACTTTTAAGGAACTTTGCAGGTACTTGAGTATACTTGGAGGTACTTGAGTGTACTTGGAGGTACTTGAAAGTACTTGAAAGTACTTGGCGATACTTTTGAAGGTACTTGATGATACTTTTGAAGGTACTTGATGGTACTTTAAAGGTACTTGATGATGCTTTAAAGGTACTTGATGATACTTGATAGGTACTTGACTGTATTTTAAAAGTACTTGAAGCTACTTTGCAAATACTTTTAATGTACTTGGAGCTACTTGAAGTAACTTGAAGTAACTTGAAGTTAATTCCGTATTTTCAGGTACTTTTGTACTTCAAGTCCGCCGTTTCCCCCTTGGTTTTTTTCATTTGATTCTACTAAAAGTCACAATTTAATTTTAGAGCAGCTATTCTCTGCGATACAGTTCAGATATAGTCCTCTAGGATTTTGTGTAAAAGTTCAAATTCGCAAGTCTTTTATTCTTTCATCATATCTTGAGATTTTCTTTTTTGGGTCTAATAATGCACTATTCTGTATGTGGATCTTTCACATTCTTATGACAACATTTTCAAAAACATTTAGTTTTTTGGGACTAACAAATTTGTTTTAGTCTATTATGAGGAAAGTCATGCTTGTGTTTTACATTGTCATGACGACATTTATTACACTCAGGTAGTATACTAATCGATTTGTTTTTTTTTGATTAACTTCAAACGATCAAATTTCATTGTTAACCCTAGTACTACCAGTCTGGATAATTTTTGACCCGTTTTTCAGACCTTCTTCTCAAAAATCGAATTTCGTACCAAGTCAAGTGAAATAACCTGATATTTTCAGGATAGATTGTGGTTGTAGTGGGGAGGCTATGGTAAAATTTTCACGTCTATATCATGATGTTTTAGGGAAATAATAATCAAATAATGGTCAAAAATAGCTCATTTGGCAACTCAAATTTCCCTTTTGTTACTTATACAATATATTTAATATTTTTTTTGTTCGAAAGAGCATGTCAGGATACAGATTATGACCAAGCTCTTCTTAATTTAAAAGAAGGACTCCGTCATGTCTTGCACCTTGACATGCTCTTTCGAACAAAAAAAATATTAAATATATTGTATAAGTAACAAAAGAAAAATTTGGGTTGCCGAATGAGGTATTTTTGACCATTATTTGATTATTATTTCCCTAAAACATCATGATGTAGACGTGAAAATTTTACCATAGTCTCTCCACTACAATCACAATCTATCCTGAAAATATCAGGTTATTTCACTTGACTTGGTACGAAATCCGGTTTTTGAGAAGAAGGTCTGAAAAACGGGTCAAAAATGACCCAGGTTGATAGTACTAGGGTTAAAGATGTATTCTCCCTCTCTCTTGTTTTCATATTGCCCTTGAGTTGCTAATGTAGCCGAGGAAATTTTTTTGAATACTGTTTCAGAGTTAAATTGAAAATGATTTTTCATTAAACATAAGAATGAATAGCATGCACTCCACTAGTCATAAGTCATAGGTTTTTTTCTTGATCATAATCATAAATATATAATAGAGTAGTAGGCAACAAATCCGAGCGTTGAAGAATACTCATTTCAGAATTGTCGAAACTTACATGGAAAACAAGTAAGTTCAGACAAAAACAAATCGTGTCAAATTTTCTTTCACAAAAAATCTGACTTGATCAAGTTCATG